ATGGATTTTCCACCTAATATTGAAAAATGTAAAATAGTCAATCACTTAGTGGAAAAATTAGCTACATTAGCACTTAACCGACGAAAAAACGAAATTGGTACTGAAAATTGAAATTGAAGGACGTTTTCAGTATTTTCTAAAGTTCAAGGATGATTTGGTTCAAAAATAAAAGTTGATGGACCAATTCGGGTATTTAACTTAAAAAAATATGTAGCCACGTCAAAATCACCACACAATTAATCCTTAAATAAAAAAAGTTAAAAGTTGACATCCTTAAATAAAAAAAATTAAAAGTTGATATTTTTATTTAAAAAAAATTAAAAATTAACATTTTTATTTAAAAATTGATAAAATTAATATTTTTAAATAAAAAAATATAAAATTATTATCCTTATTTACACTTTTACTCTATTGCATGCACTCCAAGAATAGAAAACTCTTTACCATAACAAGAAAAGAAAATGTAAACTCTTTATAAGACTTGGTCCTACGGGCCAAGCCCAATGCAAAAAGACCAAGTCCAAAGTGGATTGGTCCTCTTGTATTGAGTCCAATAATAAGTTCATAAAAGACCTGAGGAGAAACCAACTCCCAACTCCCATGTTCGGTTAACCCAAAGGTTGATTCTGTTAGGAAATATAAGTGTCATTTTGTAGCTTATGTGTAAAATACAAGTCTTAAGATTAGCATATGAATAAATTATTATTTCTTAAATATATTATGTTGATTTAAGATATAATTTAATATTATTTAAAAAAAATTAATCTTGATATGTACAAAAATGTGCCTATGAACACTGGGAGCATTCAAATAAAAGTATTCGGAAGAAAATATATAAAGAAAGCTTTTTTAACTAGGAAAATAAAAGAAAGTTCTGATTTTTGCTCGATTAATACTTTACACACAAAAATAGGGAAAATGTTAACAAAAATAAAAATAAAGGAAAGTTGGAAAAAAAAAAGGTGGCCAAAAATTACGATATCTTGGTTGTTAATATACATAAATGATAATGAAAAACTTAAATATCTTTTTGTGTGTTTGGTTGGAGAGGAAAATTTCTTTTTCACTTTCCCTTTTTACTTGGATTCTTTAGGGTTGTTTATATATTTTTACATTTAATATTACAATAAAAAAATAAAAATAATATTTTTATTCTTTATTTTTTTATTTAATTAGGTTTTCTTCTCATATTTTTTTAAAATGAAAAAGTTTTCTCCAACTTTTCATATGCCTGATCAATTAACAACTTTCCTCTTATGTTAATTTTTTACCAAATATAAAAAAATTAAAAACTTAATAAAATTCCACAAAACTTTATAAAAAATTTATCAATTTTTATATAAAATATTTTTTAATTATTTTAAATAAATTTTTTAAAAATGAAATTATCCCCTAACTATAAATATTCTTAATAAATAGAAAATAGATATTTAATAAATAAATTAACATGTAAAAAAATTTCTTTAAAATATTTAAATAATTTTACAACTAATTACAACATTTTAAATATAAAGACCATATAATTTTCATTTTTCTTTAAATAAAAAAAAAATGTAAAAGAAAAGAAGGAAAAAAGAGCAATTGGCAGCGTACGGTGGACCAGATCTCGCTGCTTCGACGCTCTATTTCTGTGTCCCATTCTCTGTTAGCCTTCAGTCAAGAAAACGCATAGAAACTTGTAAAGAAAAAACATTTCCTCTTGCCCCCAACAAAAATCCCAGGAAAAATCCAAGATGTCTTGGCAAACTTACGTAGATGATCACCTGATGTGCGAAATCGAAGGCAATAGTCTTAGCGCCGCTGCCATCATCGGCCAAGACGGCAGTGTCTGGGCCCAAAGCTCTAATTTCCCTCAGGTTTTCTTTTCCTTTACACTTTCTTCTCCAATTTTCTCTGAAAGCATATCTGTTGTTTGATGGGGTTGATGCTTGATCTGAGATCTGATCGCTCAAGGGTCTCTGTTGATTTTGAGTGATTTTTACTCGTTAGATTTATTAGCTAATCCGATTTGTTTTGAAAAGATCAATACTTTTTCGGTATTTGTTGAAATAATTTCAAGGGTTTTGCAATCTCTGCTCTTGTAATTCTGGGTATTGAAGTATTTATACTTTAGCCTTTTCAATCTGGAAAATAGGGATTTGCTAGTGCTGTTATTATTATTATTATTATTATTTTAATTTGGTAGATGATTATTTTAGATCGGCTGAGCATGAAGTTTGTTTAAATCCGACTAATCTTATGCACATCCTCTAAATGTTGGTTCTTTTTTGATCAACTTTGATCGTTTGTTTTTGCAGTTCAAGCCAGAAGAAATTGTTGCTATCAATGGTGACTTCAATGAACCTGGAAAACTTGCTCCAACTGGGTTATATCTTGGTGGAACAAAATATATGGTGATCCAAGGTGAGCCAGGGGCTGTGATTCGAGGGAAGAAGGTAATGGAACTGATGAACTCCACCCACGCATGGGGTGCCTTGTTTGTGATTGAAAAATTGACTTTAAACATACTTTAATAGGTATAAACCGTATATTTGGTGGAGTTTTATATCTGTAGCTGATACTTTATCTTAAGCGTAAGTATTTGGTTCAAGTCTAGCCAATCTTTTGATTCTTTCGAACTTTGTGATCACTCTTGTACTTGTCTTTGGCTGTTGCTTTTTCTGCCAAATGTGGAGTCTAAATCTTGTGCCTTAATGCACTTCAATTCCATGGGGAGTGTGTTCATCTTGAGAAAGACACCCTGGGAAGAAAAGGGAAAACTGTGGAGGATTGCCTTTTTTTTTCCAGCACATACTGTTCCTGATTCTTGAGCCTTCATGTTTTGCATTCATTCAGTTTTCTGTTAATGTTGTGTTCTGATCTTTTACCATTATAATTTCAGGGACCAGGTGGTGTTACTGTTAAAAAGACCAATCAGGCCTTGATCATTGGCATCTATGACGAGCCAATGACCCCTGGCCAGTGCAACATGATCGTGGAAAGGCTTGGTGATTATCTTATTGACCAGGGTCTTTAATCCTTTCACCGTGGCTGGCTTGTTGCAATTCTTGGCTTATACAAACTTACATCTGCGACTTGCTTTTGTAATGGCTAGTTGCAGTTAAAATAATATTATCAGTATTTATAGTCATGGGGAACCTTCTGCTGAAACGGGATTGGTGTGGTTTATGTTCTCTTGTTTTGTCTTTTTACTTGTTTGATGGATGGTATTACTGAGGCTGTTGAGTGAGGTTCTTTGTCTACATTTCAGTGGATTTCTAGTGATTGTGTTTAGATTGATTGGTTTGAGATTTTTCTCACTTTCTTCAGTTTTTCCCCTCTTTTTGGTAAAGGATTCTGTTTTACTACTATGGACTGCTCTTAAAAGTTTTTTTTCTTTTGACTAACCCCTAAGTATTTATTGAGATTCGACTAATTCAAAATTGAGACTTGTCAGTTCCAATAATAAAAAAGCTCTCACAAAGTTATTTTTTTATTCACAAAACTTAAATTTAAAATCTTATTTAAAAAAAATTAAAATTTTCCTACTCAACCAACAGGTTATCGGTAGCTACTCTTACTAGTTAAAGGTTAGCAAATTCTACCAGCAATCAAATTTTGTTTTTCATCGTGTGATGCACGACAGCTTTTCAATTCCAAAATATCGATTGGTTTTTAATTTCTTCTTTAAATTAAGAATTTAGAAATAATATATGTAAAATTTACTTATATTATTATTAAAAAAAGTTAAAAATAAA